ACTGTTGAAGAGTGTTGAAGAGACGCACCCAGACTCAGTGACGACTGGAGCCTGGTCGAACAGGTTCTCCTTCAGGATCTCAATGGTCTTCTGGCAGGACACAGACGGTGCCACAGTGAGTGGTGTGGACAAATGTAAACTCTGGACAGTCACGTCCCACCACCTTCAAGAGAGCAGGACAAATGTTTCAACGCTCACCTGCTCCGTCATACACTTATATGTGAGATGTGTTTTTGTAGTTTTAGGTTTTTACCAGGGTTTGACTTTAATTTGAGGCTCCACACTGAGGAAGCCCTTCTCACACATCCACTGATCACTCAGGAACTTTGTCCTGGAGACAAAATGGTCAAATCAAAATGGTTACTTCATCATTATGACTGGAAACATTCTGGCATGTGAGCACAAACAATGTGTCCTCAGTCTCCTACATGTAGTTGCGGACAGAGTCGGCCAGGATGACCACACAGCGCTGTCCCTCCTCCAGCTGCTGAGCCATCTTAACTGCTGCTGCCACCACCGAGCCGGAGCTGCCGCCTGCAGCACAACAGGAAAACCAGTCAACACAACTGAAGAGCAGGCTGCCGGTGGTCTGTCATACAAACTTACCACACAGGAGGCCCTCCTCTCGGATCAGTTTGCGTGACATAGTGAACGTTTCCACATCCGTTGATTTGTACCACAAGTCCACAAGCTGCAGGCATTTGTAAAGGAGAAGGAAACACAGCAGTAGTTTAGATAAAATGTGTAATATACAAATACACACACGTGCAAACACACCCACAGATCTGTCCAGCACAGTGGGGATGAAGTCGTATCCAATGCCCTCCACTTCATAGCAAATATTCTCATTCTTCTCCTGAGTGCCAACCAGAACGGAGCCCCTGGGATAAACTCCAACTATCTAAAAACACACACAACAGAGGTGAAACTTGATGAAAATGCAGCACTGACAGGCTAGAGTTAGCAGAAAACACACGCATTTCTCCATTGATGTACTCAGATGACATTGTCTGGAGAAATTACATGTGCTACGAGTTGTCGTTAAAATAAAAAAGCTTCTATCTTAAGCCATGCAGACTCGGTTGTCTGTTGTGTGTCTTACCTTGACATCAGGGCATCTCTCTTTCAGCTTTCGGGCAACACCTGTGAGTGTACCACCTGTACCAGCTCCGGCCACCAACATGTCCAGTTTACCTGAAAGAAACCACATTTGCTTTTCTAAACTACAAAAGGTTTACAGTTGGGTTACAGCCACCAACTACCAGACTACACACGATCAATGTTGGTGAGTAACACTGAACCTAAATGTAACTTTTTGCTTATAATACACGTAACTCAAATTTCTCCTTTATGTTTTAGGCTTCTAAAATTGAAGAGCTGTGAATACAAAGGTTGTAGTTCCTACATGTTTATCTTGTACTTTATATATGCTGCTAATGAGCAAATGTTAAAATGTTTACATGCACATTATTAATGAAAAGAATACATCTAAGAATTACAAATATTAAAACAGGGGCTGCAAGGTGGTGCAGTGGTTAGCACCGTTGCCTCGTAGATAGAAAGCTGCCGGTTTGGATCCCGGTGAGGACACCTGGGATCTTTCTGCGTGGAGTTT